AATTTAAATTTAAATATTGTTATTATAATACTCATATTAATATTGTTGATTACAACGAACTTTATATTATTATACTAACACAACATTAATTATCCTCCTGTGAGGCTATTATTATTACTTTACCAGGTCTCTATTAAACAATTAATTTAATAGGTAACGTGTATTTGTTTTTAATATCATGTCATCACTTTAAATATTTAGAACATTGTATAACTCAATAACTTATATCACACTCAGAGTAATGGCGATTATTTAAAGGTTAGTACTTAATATGCACCAACAATGAAATACGATACATACTTTTAATAATAATATTATATAATATATTATAACCATGAAACAGTGACAACTGAAGATTAAGATAATATATTTTCACTAATTAAATTTTAAAATAATATTAAATATTATATTTGAAACAAGAGCGACTTATAATGTAATAACATTTTTTAAATTTAAATAATACAATTTTGTACCTATAGAATTTCAACTTATTGCCTAATTATTTCTATTATTGAATTTCTCTCCCTTTCACATCTTTAAGGATTTTCCATTTAGGTACTTTTTATGTATTATTATTACATATCATTTATTGTATTAGGTTTTAGAAAATGTATAACTGTAAAAAATATATTTATATACCCACTTAATATAATGAAATCAGATGTTTAATTACTGAACTACTAATTAATTATTTGAATGTTAAGTGCAAAATACGATAATTTGGTAGTATATTGAGTATACTGTCTGTATACCTACGCACAATATTTACTATAAAACTTGCAAACTCGAATTTGCTTGGTAAAATCGATTATAGTTTTGAATGATTCAAACGTTTGTTATAATTTAATTTTTTTTGTCTTAACACTTATCAAATCGAATTGAATTCGATTACTGTAAGCTGTACTCACGGACAAATTAAAAAAATATAGGTAGATGGTTAAAAATAATAATGTAAATTCACTTACAGCTTATAGGTATTAGGTAAGGTAAGTTATAATATTATATAATTCTCGTTTCAAAATAGTTGTTCAAAATGTATGATTTGTTTATCAAACGTGTAACGAGTATAGTATTGAGTTTTCACTATCATATTATATATTATCGTCGATCAAATACTTCAAATAAATTGACGTCGCGACCGATACAATTTTAAGTGTAATTTATAAAAACAGTTGAATGAAACAGCCTTTTGATTTTATCACACTCGTTGATCATATGGACACCGACCACAGTGGACAAGTTAAGTTTATTATACATTATATTATTATTTTGTTGAATTCTAATTCAATTTAAATACATTCATGTGCATTTTGCTTAGTCTTGGCATTGTGTTTAACAAACGCACAGCTATAGATGACATATATATTTTAGATTCTGAGTGAAACAATGAATGTATTGATTTTACAATGATGTGTGTTTTTTTTAATTTTAATTTTTTTTTGTGTCTGTCATCACGTTTTAGGGCAGTAAAAGGGCTTGGATTTTCTTCAACAGTAGCTTTTCTGATAGGAAAGTGAATCTAGTTGGTAAATTTGGACGAAATTACATAATAAAAAACCTAGAATAACTATTTTAGTTTTTTGTTGATATTGGATAATATTATTCGTGGGTACTTGAAACTTCTAAAGTATACTACTATATATCTATGATAGTATCAGGGTTTGTTGTTGGTATATAACGCGTTATAAGTACCTAATGGATATTGTGATATGATTAATTTCAAATTCATTATAGGTCAATTTTTTTAATACCATAGATAAGTATATAATATGTCTTATACCTAGACTGACATACCTTCTCCGCTCAGAATCGTTTTTCTTATACAATGATATTATATCATTGAATTCAAAATTTAATACCATCCATTATACATTGACCCACTTGCGACCTACTGTACAGCAGAGCGACATCCACTTGCCCACCTTTTTTTTTTTACTTGGCACGTCGACGTCATGTTTATTATAGAACGTTGTGCACGGTGACAAGGTAGGTACGCCGGATTTCCTTCTCGGCCTTTAACAAATTATGAAAATAAGAACCAATAAACGACTAAGTAAAAAAATAATCATATTATATATGTATATTATAGGTTATAAATGTATAGAATGATATTGTAATATAGCTGATATTGCGTAACGATGAAAATAATATTTTAACCGTATTACGTTAAACCCTTCGATTATTGTTCGTATTGTTCATCTTTATATATTCACTTTGTCCACCCTTTCCATAAAAGGTGTTACAGAATCTTGCATTATGTTATTTTTTTTAAAAATAATTTCAAAAAGTTACCCCACGGCCTCATCGTGGGACTAACCAGCTGAGGAGCTGCCGGAAGGACCAGCTGAGACGTGCAAAATGTGTTATTAATTTTATGTGTGGTCCTATTGTGGCAAACCTCTTGTGTGCACAATCGTCCTGATATTTTTTTTTTTTTTTTTTTTTATTTGTCGGAGGTCTTTTCAAATGATGGCCAATGCGCGGGGATTACGCGTAATGTGAAATCCTCTACCGCCTTCAATTTGTTCAGGACTATCAGCAGCGGTGCCCGCCTGGACATGGACATAATGATAGAATTACCTGCTTTTAAAAGGTCAAAGGGTTCGGTTGCAACAATAAGGGTCAAACAGTACATATGGGAGGGTGCGCGTTTGAATCGGTCAGCGAATTGATCGGGGTGCAAAGACACCAAATTACGTTTAATAGATCTACATATTAAAACATTGTTACAGGTGATATTATAGGTACTTACCAACATTATAGATTTATTTCTAAGATTTGTTTTATTAACAAAAATCCTCATAATCATTAACATATTAAGATAATTAATTATTTTATAAGTATTTAATATAGATCCATACTATGCAAAATACAGGTAGGTACTATCAAAACATTAAGGTTAAATACCAAATTATTTTTAAACTGTATTTGGAATTATAAAGTGTATTGCTTCGTATATAATACGTTTGGAAACCTGAAATTTAGCACGTTCCTAACATGTTTTAAATAAAAAATCACCACGTACTCACTCGGTTGACAATTGATGTATAATATGGTACATTAAGTATACACATGTACATTTATTTCATCTATCCTTAAGTCAAATAAAAGATATCGATAAAAAAACAACTTTTACCAGGTAACTATATCTTTAAATTAATCAACTCACGAGAAATCATAAAATAACACATAATTAGCTGAACCCTGAACCAATATTGAACCATTAATTCATTTTAATTTAAAACCCGGTTTCGACGGAGTAATGACTGCTAATATAGTATTATTATTTTTCAAAAATTTGCCTACTGGGTGCATTATAATAGCTGGGGAAGGTGTTCGTGCGCAACAAGTCCTATGTACACATGGTACACGTGTGCATAAAACCGCAATGATTTTTTTTACACCCGATTAGCAATTTAGATAAATATAGTACGCGTTATGTGTAAATTGTACCTGCATGTGTTTAAATTAGTTCATATTTTATTTATTATAGGTACAGAGTTAGACAATAGCGTAATACCTTATTCATATAATATCGATTTCCTATCGTTTTATAAAATTATTACAAAATATTATTGAATTTGCTATAATTGTTGAACTTATTACATAAACATTTAATGATAACATTTTATTCACAAATACAGTAGTAATCGAAATTAAAAAATATATTTATGTACCAGATCGCTACCTAATACTTAGATATTATGATAAAACTATAAAAGTTTATAAATAATAACACTCTCATGTTATAATGTTATAATATAGGGAAAGACAAGTTCTAATGGAAATTTGTTGGTACTTAAAAAGTTTAAACTCTAGCTGTAGTAGGAATGCATACATTATTATTGTTTGAACTTCCCGCCGCTTCCAGTGCGACATTCGACAACCGGTCCGCGAGACAGCGCGTCGCGCGGCCCGCAGACACCGGGCTCCGGCCAAGTCGCCGCCGGCGACCAAAAGCTTGTCTTTTTCGTACGCTCGATTTGAGTGGACCGTGCGTGTGTCGCGTCCGGCCGTTGTTCGGTGCCGTTTTGCGACAACTTCGTTTGGTGCGAGTTACCCGCGCATGTTTGCATTGTACATATTATATTATTTCGCTCTACGTATTATTTCGCTGTCGCGCCATCCGACGTAATTGTGTTTTCGACGCCGTTGTCGTCGTTCTCGACGTCGTACCGATTAACGTCGACGGTTGCCCGTTGCGCGACCGATACTCGCCGACGCGTGTTTGCCGCTGATATTCGCGCCCGTATTGCTTGTCGACTCGTGTCGATACATCTTGGTCGTCTGATTCCGACGGGCTCCAGTTCGTACCGGGTATATCGTTCGCCGGCGTTATTATTATCGTGTGTGGATATCCCTCGTGCGACGCCGCTTCAGTGCCGTGATTACGTAATTTGCGCATTACGTAATCCGGTCATTCGCCGTCATCCGGAGCCGCCGCCGACAGCCGCCGCTCCCCGTTCACCTCCGTGTCATCGCATCGCCGCAGCAGCTGTTCCAGTCGCCGCCGCCGATACACCGCCCTACCGCGGCGCCTGTGCCGACCGGTAATCAAATTATTATTATCGTTATTGCCCTATTAGTTATATTGTTTATTATTGTTTTGAGTTGCGCTCGGGAAAAGACGTTTTCCCGGCCAACATACGCACTTTTGTCGTGCCTCATAATATATTACTTTCTGTTATTTGCGCCGTGTTATAATTATATATATATTGGTCACCTATCCCGTCCAAAACTGAACACCACTTTATTTTATTTGAGTAGTTGCCCGGCCAAATGCTAGTGAATAGCCGGCAGCCCAAACATTTGGTAGCAGAGCGTGGTTGATTTATTATTTAATTGTGGTGTTCACGTTTGGATTGGGTTCGTGACAGTTTAGATAGGACCATTGCCCTGTTTTTTTATTGTAGTTGAGCGCTGTTAGTTTGAGTGATTGTCCCGGGGGTTACGTGCGCGCACCTTTTGCCAGCATCCTTGCGACCTCGTAACTAGTCGCCATGGCTGCTGACGATGAATTGGAGCGGAATAAGCGCGCGAAGGGTCGTGCATTGGCTAAACGAGACTCGTACGTCGTTCGCATTAAGGCTATCCACACGACCGCTCTATCGGCCAGTGATGATGCGACCAAGGCGCCGCGGTTGCTCGCGGCATCCGCCAAGCTGGATAATTTGTTGACTGGGTTCGAGATTGAGGACCATGCTGTGTTCGAAGCTTATTGTGCTCTCGATATGTTGGGCGAGTATACGACGGACCTTCTTGTTGAAGTAAACGAGTGGGTTTATGATATCCAGTCTATTGCTGCACGCTATCGTGTTCAACCCGTCGCTGGGGGTGACCCTCACGTGGCACAACCCCGCGTTTTCCGTCGACTACCTGAAATTCCGTTACCGCAATTCGACGGCGATATCCATAAGTGGCCCGCATTCCGCGATCAGTTCCTCGCGGTAGTGTCTCAATCTCCGGACATACCCGACATCGAACGGTTTTATCACTTGCGTAGCTGTATTCAGGGAAGTGCCGCCGACGTCATCCGTGGTATATTGGTTTCGGGAGCCACCTTCGCCGTAGCCTGGGCCGCATTGGTATCGCGTTACGACAAGCCGCGTTTAGTCGCGGGATCTTTCGTCGACCAATTATTACAAGTACCTGTGGCGTCCGTGGACAGTTTGTCGGACTTGAATAAATTTATGTCGGTGTTCGGTGAAGGTATTTCTGTCCTTACCGCATTACAGGTCCCGGACTTAGGTGATTTCATTTTATTTTCACTGGCGTCACGGTGCCTTTCGTCGTCGTGTCGCACGTTGTTTGAGTCGGAAACGACAGGTGACTTTCCCACGGTAGATGATTTGTTCACCTTTATCAAAAACCGTATCGCTATACTCGAGCGCGTACAGGGCGCCGCCGGTAAACAGGCCGTGCTCGCGCCCCGTCCTAAGGACCGACCGTCTGCGCCGTCGAAATGGTCACGTAAAATGGATCGACCATCACCGACGTCATTAGTCTCAGCTGTGCAAGTACCGGCGCCGTCGCCGCACACAGTGTCGTGTCAATACTGCAACAAGTCACACGCGCTCGATGTGTGCCGTAAATTTAGTTCACTACCCGCGGATGAACGCACGAAATGGGCGCGTGCTCAAAGCATTTGTTTCTCGTGTCTCAGTCCTGGTCATTGGTCACCTAGTTGTAAGGCGCCCGCCAAATGTGCAATTTGTTCACGCCGTCATCATAGTTTGTTGCATCCGACTTTTACGGACGTTGTGCCGTCATCGGAGGCGGAGTCAGCTGCCATCCCCACGTCGCTATTATCCGGGCTCGGGTCGCCGTCCGTCGTGCTGGGCACGGCGTTGGTACATATACGTGATCGTTCTGGGAGTTTCCAAGTGGCCCGCGCGTTGATCGACTCGGCGTCACAAATAAACGCGATTTCACTGCCATGCGCGAAGCGGCTAGGTCTCCGTTGGTCAACTTGGTCGGCACCAATTTCGGGTTTAGCCGGCGTGCCGGTAGTCACGGTACAAGGACGAGTCGATTGTCATGTCGTGCCGCGCTACGCGTCCGATCCAGTTTTAGCGTTCGAGTCATGGGTTCTACCGTCTATAACCGGTGACCTCCCGCGGCATTCGTTGGAACCGTCTGTACGGGATAAGTTTTCGCACTTGGCGTTGGCGGACCCGGATTTCCATATCGCCGCGCCGGTTGATCTATTATTAGGCGCAGACCTGTTTTCATCCATTGTTGACGGGCGTCAGGTTGTTGTGGATAAGTCGTTGCCGGCCGCTTTCAGCTCATGTTTCGGGTGGATCCTTATTGGGTCAGTGTCGCCATCTGATATATCGATTCCGCAACCACCAGCCGTGTCTCTACTCACGTCCGTGGAGCAATTAATCGACCGGTTTTGGCACATCGAAGAGCCCGACGTAGCCCCGTTGAAGTTTACCGACGCCGGCAAATGCGAAGCCGTATTCCGTGATAATGTTGTCCGTGACGAGTCCGGCCGTTTTTCGGTTCCATTGCCGTTTCGTGTGCCATTGCATGATAATCTATTTCCTGGGTCTCGAGCGGTCGCAGCCAAACGGTTCGATCATCTCGAGCGGAAGCTAAGCTCGAACGATCGAATGCGCACCAAGTATAACGATTTTATGTCGGAATATTTGTCACTCGGACACATGTCAGTGGCGTCCACTCCTGGCCGGTATTTTATTCCGCATCATGCCGTGTGTGGCGCCGATGAAAAATTCCGCGTAGTGTTCGACGCGTCCGCTTCGGTCGCTGATGGCTCGTCATTAAACACATCGTTATTTCCGGGTCCAAAGCTACAACAGGACATCGTAGATGTGCTCACACGGTTTCGTTTGTTCCGTCACGCATTTACCACCGATATTTGTAAAATGTACCGACAAATTACGGTCCTTCCACAATACCGTGCGTATCAGCATATTCTATGGCGATCGTCCCCGCACCTGGAGCTCGTCGAATACGAGCTAAATACCGTGACGTATGGCGTAAATTGTGCGCCGTTTCTGGCGCTACGAGTGTTGCAAGAGGTCGCTGAGGTCGACTGCCACGGTTCCGCCCGCGTATGCGACGCGTTGCGTCACCAGACGTATGTGGACGACATTTGTTACGGCGCTGACACTGTGGACGACGCGCTCAGTATTCAAGTAGAGTTAACGGCTGTCCTTAACGGCGCGGGTTTTGAACTGCGAAAATGGGCGAGCAATACCGCCGCGGTCGTGCATGCTGTTCCGGAAGAATTCCGGGTGATTAAATCTACAACGTTTGCCGGTGATGAGGGTGGTGACACGAAGGTACTAGGATTGTCTTGGCATACCGGTGGCGATTATTTCGGATGCGAAGCTCACCTCGACTCAGCCACGGTATTTACCAAACGTGGTATATTGTCACTTACCGCACGTTTCTTCGATCCGTTAGGTTTATTCGCGCCGACAATTTTCCTTGCCAAGCACATTATGCAACGCACCTGGCAGTCCAATTGTACGTGGGATCAACGGTTGCCTACCGAGATTCACTCAGATTGGTCGCGGTTCGTCGACGAATTGCCCGCGCTAGCCTCCGTGCATGTTCCGCGTTATTTCAATACAACCGCTAGAGCTCCGTGTTCGTTGTATGGATTTTGCGACGCGTCGCAACGCGGCTATGCCGCGGTAGTGTTTTTGCGCATCCATGATGCCCCTCGCGCGACGTCGGTTATGTTGGTCGGTTCCAAGACCAAGCTAGCGCCGCTTAAACCGTTATCGATTCCGAGGCTCGAGCTGAATGCCGCAGTGTTATTGTCGCGCTGGATGAGCCGAATATCTTTATTATTAAATACGCACATCGATATCGTTGACATGTGGGCCTGGACGGATTCGTCGATTGTATTGTCATGGTTAACTGTGCCCCATGACACATTCAAGCAATATGTATCAAACCGTGTTCACCAGGTACGGACGTTGTTGCCGAGTTGTCAATGGCGCCACGTCAGTTCGGAGCTGAACCCGGCGGACTGTGCGTCCCGTGGGTTGATGCCGTCTGAGTTGCCGCACCATCAGTTATATTGGCAGGGTCCCGCCTTTCTCCGTGACCCTCCGCAGGAATGGGGGAGTGACATCGCGCGTTTGCCGGTTGCGGAACTGCCCGAAGTTAGATCTGTGTCACCTGCAGTTTGTTTAGCTGCCCCCACGGTTGAATGGTTCACGCGTTTCTCGTCCTACGACGCACTCATCCGTGTGGTCGCGCGTGTGCGCCGGTTTATCGATATTTGTCGCCGACGTCCAGTCGTGAGATCGAATGCGCTTACTCGAGCCGAGCTCGACGGTGCAACTCGCGCGGTAATCGCTGCGTCTCAACGTGTCACATTTCCGACATTAGTCAGCGACCTGCAAAATTTACACCGTTTAGCATCCAAGCCGTTGGCACGGCTGTGCCCCTTTGTCGATTCCGAAGGTATAATCCGCGTCGGTGGACGCTTACGTCATTCAGAGTTGCCGTACGATTGTCGACATCCGATTTTGTTGGCAAAAGGGTCGTACCTCGCGCTGCTGGTATGTCGTCACTGGCACAAAATCACTGGTCACTCGGGACCACGGGTAATGACCTCCTTGATACATCGGCAATATTGGATTGTGTCGCTGCGCTCCGTTATCCATAATGTCATTAGTCAATGCACCCGGTGCGTGCGTCTCCGTGCGTCCGTCCCCACGCCGGTCATGGCGGATCTACCAGAGTCGCGGGTGTTGCAATGTCGTCCGTTTTCTTGCGTCGGTGTTGACTACGCCGGGCCTATACCTATGCGTGACAATAAATTACGAAAATCTAGGACGTACAAAGCGTATATAGCCGTATTCGTGTGTATGAGCGTCAAGGCCGTCCATTTGGAATTAGTATCAGATTTGTCCACTCCGGCCTTCCTCGCCGCCTTCGACCGGTTCGTCGCTCGGCGCGGCCTGCCTACGACGGTCTATTCCGACTGTGGAACAAATTTTGTTGGTGCTGACAGACAATTGCGTCAGCTGATTAATAGCCCCGCAGCACAATCTATTATTACGTCGGGGAAGTCCTACTGCGACTGGAAGTTTAATCCCCCCAGTGCACCACATTTTGGTGGGTTGTGGGAGGCAGCAGTACGCTCGTGTAAACGACTGCTCGTACGAATCATGGGTGCGCACGCGTTCACGTACGAAGAATTTACAACCGTATTGTGTCGAGTTGAAGCCGTGCTGAACTCACGCCCCCTCACTCCAGCATCGACCGACCCTCACGACCTCGACTGTCTAACGCCCGGCCATTTTTTGATAGGCCAGCCGCTGTTAGCGCTCCCGCCGCGTACTACTGAGTGTCCGGAACGTCCGCTCACGGACCGTTGGAAGCTGTTGGACCACTGTCACCAGCACTTCTGGCGTCGTTGGTCGACGGAATATTTACATACATTACAAGAAAGAGGAAAGTGGACACGCGACCAACCAAACATTGAAGTCGGACAGATGGTCACCATCAGAGACAGCCTAGCCCCCCCTTTGGAGTGGCGACTTGGGCGGGTGCTCGAGGTGCTACCAGGTGCGGATGGTGTGGTGAGAGTTGTGCGCGTTCTGACCTCGCGCGGTATAGTCACTCGTCCTGCTGCCAAGCTCGTTTTATTACCTGGTAATGGTACAGGTCCCCTTATTTAATTATGTTTAATTGCCATACGGCCTATTGTTTTGTATTTTGTTCAATTATTACTTATTTCATTCCGTTGAATTATTACGTTATCATGTCGAATTATTATTTGCCATTCCTGTTGGTTTTCGTTATTTATTATTGTCTTATTTATTCGTGACCCTATTGTCACTTGTCCACGTATTTAGCGTTACCTGTTATTATATGTATTGTGTCCATTCTCACATTTTAAGATAATTGTTATTTTATGATATACTTAATTTGTCTATTTTTTATTTACATTTATATTTTTTTTGCATTCCGGCCCTTTAATATGTATAAACTAGGTCTCAGTATCGGCGGCGTTCAAAGAATGATGTGAAGCTGCGCCTCCCATGGGGGAGTATGTTTGAACTTCCCGCCGCTTCCAGTGCGACATTCGACAACCGGTCCGCGAGACAGCGCGTCGCGCGGCCCGCAGACACCGGGCTCCGGCCAAGTCGCCGCCGGCGACCAAAAGCTTGTCTTTTTCGTACGCTCGATTTGAGTGGACCGTGCGTGTGTCGCGTCCGGCCGTTGTTCGGTGCCGTTTTGCGACAACTTCGTTTGGTGCGAGTTACCCGCGCATGTTTGCATTGTACATATTATATTATTTCGCTCTACGTATTATTTCGCTGTCGCGCCATCCGACGTAATTGTGTTTTCGACGCCGTTGTCGTCGTTCTCGACGTCGTACCGATTAACGTCGACGGTTGCCCGTTGCGCGACCGATACTCGCCGACGCGTGTTTGCCGCTGATATTCGCGCCCGTATTGCTTGTCGACTCGTGTCGATACATCTTGGTCGTCTGATTCCGACGGGCTCCAGTTCGTACCGGGTATATCGTTCGCCGGCGTTATTATTATCGTGTGTGGATATCCCTCGTGCGACGCCGCTTCAGTGCCGTGATTACGTAATTTGCGCATTACGTAATCCGGTCATTCGCCGTCATCCGGAGCCGCCGCCGACAGCCGCCGCTCCCCGTTCACCTCCGTGTCATCGCATCGCCGCAGCAGCTGTTCCAGTCGCCGCCGCCGATACACCGCCCTACCGCGGCGCCTGTGCCGACCGGTAATCAAATTATTATTATCGTTATTGCCCTATTAGTTATATTGTTTATTATTGTTTTGAGTTGCGCTCGGGAAAAGACGTTTTCCCGGCCAACATACGCACTTTTGTCGTGCCTCATAATATATTACTTTCTGTTATTTGCGCCGTGTTATAATTATATATATATATTGGTCACCTATCCCGTCCAAAACTGAACACCACTTTATTTTATTTGAGTAGTTGCCCGGCCAAATGCTAGTGAATAGCCGGCAGCCCAAACAATTATACTTATAGTACATGAAATGCATTTGATTAATACGCAAAATTAACCACCGTACATATAAGGTACATGTAATTTTATTATTTTAGCTTTAAAATATTTACAGTGGTATTCCATTTAATGTTGTTCGATACCCGTATATACCGTTGACATAACGTCGTTATAATAATTATTATTATTATTCTACCTACCTACCTACCTACCTACTGTGAGCTTATGATTTATAAGCATACAGATACAGGTAAGTATATATACGAACATACCCAGAGTGTGCTTTTATGATATATGGTCCCAATAATAACATCATATTACCTACGCAATAATTAATACCATAAACATATTAATAATATTTTAAAAACTATAATCAAATAATCGAATTATTATCCTTTAGCCTGCACTATATATCTTGAAAATTACACATGAATAAAAAAAACTGGAAATGAGTTTTTAAAATTATATACTGTATCAGAGGCAGATCAGTAAATTGCCGTTCCTTTTTCTTCTGTGTACTACTGTAAACTAATATTTTACATCTATATTATAACATTATCTATAAAATGTCCTACAGAACGCCTAGTCGTATCCTAACTGGAGTTAGGACATCTACTTTTTTTAATAAATTTATATATATAGTTCTGATAAACGAGTCTATATATTATACTAATAATTATAAACACAATATTGTATAATTAGTTTTCAAAAAGAAAATAATGGTTTTAATTAACAATGGGAACTACCCACAATAAACTAAAAATGTTGACCAGTAGAATTAAAAAACTGAAACTTACTGACCATCTGATAGCGGCCTTTGGCGAGATTCTGCTAATCCTATTCGGATTTGTATAGTAAATACTTCAAATCACTCCTCAGGTCACTGTAATCCATCCTTTGCATAATATTTTCATTCCATAATAATATGATATCAAACATTTTTCAGATATTGAAATATTAATAACTTCATTTCATTTCCCAATTCACGCCAAACATTAAGCCCGTTTGCTTGCTTCTATTACTCAGTTACTAAATAAAGTTAACATTTCATAATTTATTTTCATTCGATGAATTTGTCTTATCTCTGATCTCTCATTATTGTGATTAATGACTATCATGTTAACGTTTAATCTTAAGTCTGTATATTTTCTTAATTAATATAAATAATTTCCATCTTATTTTCTCATATGTATTCTAAGTGTCAAGATTAATTGTATCACAATCTCTAACAATATACTTTTAAAAAAATTGGTTCACTACAGTAACAAAATGTTGAAGCCGGTTATTAAAATAATGTAATAATGTTTATAGATACCTACTATAATTACACATATGTAGACGAATGGTACATTATTACGTGTGCATAAATAACCGTGTAAAAAAATATTTTTGGGTAAACAAAAAATTTTAATACCTGTAGTCCAATAGAAAATACAAATTTGACATAATTTAAATTTCTGAATTTTAATCGATAAATTAGTGAAATAAAATATGTTGCAAGCGCGTGTAATGTGTATGGATACTATACACTTTCAAATTAACAACATATAATATTAAAATATTATAATTAGGGTATGAGTAGGTATATATGACCGTTGAAAACCATAATAATAAACAATTCTGTTGTATAATTAAGACAACACAAAATTAATTGGTTTAAAACAAGACATTGTTTTGAGTTTTGGACTTATTAATTAGTAGGTATATAATAATATAAAGTAATTGTTTAGTATATGCCCCGGCCCCCGAGCAGTGCTCATCTACAAACACCGAAATAATCAGCATTGGTAGGTTCACCATGTAAAAAATCCACAAATAATATTGTCATGATATACGATCGTTTTTTATGCAGTACAGGTTATGCTTTTAGACAAATCGCGAATACCCGACGTCTAGTTAAATCTTAACGTCCACCGTTAAATTGTGATTTTTATCCATTTTCGATGGTGGCCACCTACGGGCTACGACTTGCCTACTACGTACCTATACTGCATCGGTGCACGGCGTATTGTAGGTACACACTCGCACACCGCACGCGCACACCTGGTGATTTACTGCGCCGGAACACAGAGAGACGACGTTTTTTTTTTTACCGCTCTTTCTCCAAACCCGATTGCGCGATTGTCCAATAATACGTTTGCGAGTGTGAGTGTTCTTATAATATATATATATATGCAGCTGCACACATACACTAGCTGCACTCGCTGGAAGTCCGCACACCTTAAACACCATATCGATAGCGCGCGCGATCTGTGTGTGTGTGTGTGCGTGCGCCAAGGGTGCAACTGGTTCCTATTTATTATAAGGTTACTATTATGTTATGTTAAATTTTTTCACCACGTACGTTTCTCACGGGACTATACGCCCCCGTGACGAAGAGGTGATTTTTTCGAGTGTATTTGTGCATGTGTCTGTTCGTACTTCGTAGTTTGTGTGCGCGAGTGCTCATGTAAGTATTTCAGCTGCATATACTCGACACCCGAGAGACATCACTTTGTAGCCGACTCGCCTGTTGCAAGTCTCCTACGCGGCGGAGCCAGTGCGCCGGCGGGTGGCCAAAGCAGTGTTGAAACGTGACAAATTATATACACCCTTTTTTCGTTTATTCGAAGACGCACGTGGCGGAGTTAACTGCTATAATTAATAAAAATAATAATAATGATAATATTTTATAGACAGAATAATATTCTAATTTATAGTAATATAATAATGACTGCAGTAGGTACATGTGTATTGAGTTATAATAAAAATTATTAAGAATAACAGAGAAGAAAAAATATAATTTATACATTAATATATTATACATGCCTACTAGAGTCTAGAATCTTAAAATATGATCATTATATTATTATAATAATAATATCTCAGGAAACTGCAAATGTATACCTACGAGCTTGCGCACGTCGTGTCAGATTCTGTTTTTTAGACTCTTCCATGATATATATATATATATATATATATATATATATCCACTCATTAATATTACTGTTGGTATTTTAAATTACCGATTACTGATAACTGATAAGTAAACATAATAAAACAACTAAAGCTCTGGTACAGTATTATATACACTATAGTAGTGACTGTATATATGTATAAATATACTGTACCTATTATATATACTTATTTCTCTTATCGTTTCACATCTATAACTTTGTTGGAAGGAATGAGAAAATTTAACTTATATGATTGGACTCGAGCTCCGCCGCTCAGGCATTTGAAGAAAAGAAATTTTTTTTTTCAGACCACTAAAAATTATTGTTCAAAAATCACATCCAAGTTAAATTGTCGCTAAAAAAAAAAATTTTAAAAATATCCTAAGTACATAATGCATATACCTATATATACTCCCAATTGCCAAACATACTCGTTCAAATTGATCATCTATAATTTTTTTTTACAGGCTTATATGCCATTTTTTTAGCACTCTAGCACTCGTGTTCTATTACAAGATCTAGAGAATACCTAACTACAACAAACGAAATGGAAAAACCACATAGTTGTATGACTCTATTTTTCAGATTTTAAAAAGCTAAATTAATATAAGTCAAAATAGATATTATTCACAAACATGCAAACATTGTGTACAATAAAGTGGAAAAGATCCAGAGTCTACGGCCTATCTTGTGAAGTGGGAACAATATTTTATTTATTTTATTTGAGAAAAGAAAT